TATTTCCTGTATTTGGCCCAAGTGTTCAAGTGAGGATGAAGACCACAAGTGTGTGTACAACTTTTCTTTACCTGATGGGACACACTTGTAGTGTTGTAAAAATGCAAGTGTTTACACAGCTTTATTTTAATTTTTATTTGAAATACTTTGCATTTTAAAATCAACTTCTAAATATCTGTTCAGTCGTCCCAATAACATGACATAATTTTAATTTGTGGTGCTTCTAATTAAGTGATAAAAAGCAATTGCAAATGTTGTACACAATAAATATCACCACTACTCATCTTTGCACCAATAAAAGTAAAAACACTGTTTTTCTACCAAATTGTTTGTAATATATAATTATTATTATTATTCATATTTAACTTGCATTGGAAAGGTTTCCGTGACCTCTCGCGAGATCTCGGCAAAAAGTCTCACGATTTATTTCCAGAACATGATGCATGATGGGATACACTCAGCCTTGAATTGGGGTTGTTTTCGATACGATACCGATATTTTTCAAGGCAGTATCGTTGATATCGATTCGATACTTCTGCACAAAACTTTTAAATTATGAAATGTATTAAATTACTAAGAGTAAAATGGGTAATGAAAACCACTTAACTTTGTCTAAAACGCATTTTAAAACCCGTTTAATCCCAAATCTTTCCCAGATATGAAAATATCCAAATGATGCGTCATTAGTAACCCTTTGAAATAATCAATAATTTTTTTTTTTGGAAAAGTGTGTGAAAAATTGTATTTGATGGTCAGTCACAATTGTAACCGGTGGGATAATGTGTATACTGAACTAACATATTTCTGCAGTCTTAAAAATTGTTATATATCTTAGCCCAGCTATTTTAAACGGTTTGATCACATTCTAGGGTTACTATTATGCATAAAAAACCCTTATACAACATTGATAGGAATACTGAGATCAAATACAAAAAAATACAACCATCAACGTATTTCAAAATTGTAACTTTTTTGTAACATATCATCACATTTTTATATTAGTGCTACCAGTATTACATCAATATTCTAACTTATTTGTAACATTTGATTTATTGCAATATTAATCATGTTTGATTACGTCTTTAATTGATTTTACCGTACATTTCTGCCATATGTACATCAATTTGACACGGTCACCACTGACAAGCTACCACTAAATATATTGTCGAAACGTAATTTTCTGTAAAGCTGCTTTGCAACGATTTATATCGTGAAAAGCACTATACAAATAAACTTGAAATTGAATTGTGTGTGCATGGCCATAGCCAGCAATGAGGTCACAGAGGTCCAGACCGATGCCAATTTTTCATATTCAAAAAAATTAAAATGTAAAGTTCTCTGAATGACTCCTTACTTAGCCTGTTACTCATACTAACCAAGTTGTAAAACATTGTTTACAAACATATAGATGTCTGTCTCTTTTAAAGGTTATATGAAGTGTAGGCCTATGTTTCATTTTTAGGTGATTATAGCAGTTCTTAACACCTTGCCCCAGACCTTACTATCTTTCAAACCCTGGTTACAGCCATGTGTGTGTGTGTGTGTGTGTGTATAAAAGTAAATGTAGCAACTGAAGTAAACTTAAAATTTCTTGTCTATAAGTGTCATAGCAATTTTTAAAATGTATTTTACTTGAAATGAGTAAAAATTCCTAGCAGTTTAGGAAATCCATGTCTGGGGCAAGATAAAGTTACTCCACAGATTAATTTACAGAATCAGAAAATTTTCAATGAAAAATTCCCCTACACAGTAACTCTCCAATGTATTCCTTCATATCCCCTTATATGCTTAACCTGTTGAATATAGGTCATTTTTGACAGATTTTTTAATTTTTTATTATTATTTAATTGTTTTCTAAATCTGAGTGGTCCAAACTTGATGACTTCTTTAAATATGCAATCTGAACAAACAAAAAACTGGTCATACATAAGTCGTCACACCTCTTTGGCTGTTCTTGGTCAAAACTGACCAACCATAGGAAATAAATGAGGAAGACCCTAACAAAGGGGTAAATGGGGAGGGGTAAATAAGATCTAAATAACCTAAAACTTGTTACTACTTGAGGAAAGTATGGTTTAAAATTAAAAATTACACTCTTAGTATCCCCAATCAAACATTATCTCAGAAAGGTTTAATCAATATTAATTCCTCACCGTTTACTGAAGAAACACGAGTCTCCTCAATGAAGTCAAATTCATAGCTGACAAATGGGCTCTGTGGATTAACAGACATGACAAAAACATTAATCATAAATCAAATTATATTCAACATAATACAGCACAATTAATGTATTAAACACTTTATCTGGTCTAATGAATTGTCACATTTGAATAAGATATAGACGGTGCCTTGTGTTTGAGGAGTGATCTCCAGTCCTGCTTTTCCTTTTTCTTCAGCTTCATCACAGGCTCATTGCATCTCATTTCCCATGAGGACTCTTCTGCGATGATGTTACCGGACAGCTCAAGCTTTGCATAGTAATGCCGGTCATACACGTACCCACTGAGATTAAAATGCATGAAACATTCCCATAAAATATGTGTGTAAAACACCATACATCAATGCACATGTTCTTTGCCGTCCTGTCATATTAAGAAAATACAGCCTTTAAACTGCCCATACATTTCTTTCTAGCATGAAATGTTAATAAATGACTGAACAAACAGATGCTTTATGATCATGTGACCTGTAAATGGCAGTGTCTGAGTGGAATTCACACTTCTGCATCGCTGGATTGATGAGCTTTATGTAGATCGTGACCAACTCACCCCTCTGGAACCATTTGATCTGAGGGTGAAAACTACACGGGAAACACTTGGTATTACTATCAGATATGAACAATAATCAGAACACCTTTACGCGTGGTAATGCTGAATGTGAACATAGGCGGCATTTACACTGCAAGTCTTAATGCACAGATCCGATCTTTTGACCCATCTGCTTACATTCACTTTAGACACGACTGGTATCCGATATCTGTGTTTACATAATTCCCGCCCAAAATGAAAGTGATCGCTTTACTACGCACATGGTAGACCCTCTGGTTTTGAATGGCTGTGCTATAAAAATTATTTATATAATTCACGTCAAGTGGCCATTATTATTTGCCAGCATGGACAACAGCTGTCATGGATGTTTTACAGCACAAAATCTGACTGAACAGATAAATAACAGTAATTTTCATTTGTTAGGCTATTTTATCTAGAGCTTGTTAGAAGTGGAATTCTTAAGTGAAATAAAGTAGTGCCAAGTATAATTTAGCTTTTGGTAGCGAAGCTGTTCGATTTATAAAATTCATGGGGCAGCTCCTGAATGTGCAATTTCCTATATAAAGTTTCCATTTCAATAAAATGCGAACGCATGCAAGTCTGGCAAACGTGTCGCCCTCGCATTGGGAGTTCTGCGGGGAATCGGATATGTGTGTTTAGACGTAGGTTGGATGTCCTGATATCGGATATGTATCCGATTAAAATCCACATTTGGAAGTGGCTCAGATCGGATGCGAAAAAATCTGATCTCGTCCGGATTTGTGTTTACCTGTGTTCAACAAATTTCGATCTGTGTCAGATGTGAGCAAATAATCTGTTTTTTTGTGCCAGTGTAAATGCAGCCATAGTTTCTTAAATATTTATAACTCACCTGGTAAACTGGAATGAGAAAGGGGCTGGATTGTGGAAATTCTGTGGTTCATTGACCGTCTGCAATTTGTTGATGTTCAGGGCTTCATCTTTGACTACATAATCAATGTGGGCAAAAACCAAGTGTTACTATAAATGGGAATAAACAGACTAGTTCCCCTTCAAACTATTCCTTACAAGTGAATAAACCCTCTGAAGAATCATCATCATCAACATCGCTGTCCTTCAGGTCTCCAATGCACAGGACAGCACTGTTGTTCTGGGGGCTGATGGGAGTTTGGCTGAACTCCATGGCATTATGACTGCTGACTAAATCCTTCATCCTACTGGTGAGAACATCTACTGTAACCTCAACTCTCTGCTGTGAGGATGACGAAGGGCTCGCAAACCTGTCAAACCAAAAATAAAGAATGTGCATAATATATATATATATATATATATATATATATATATATATATATATATATATATATAAATAAACACAAATAGAA